TTCTTCACTCTTGTCATCGCTCAAGTTGGCGTTGGGGTCAGGTTTGTCTTTGCTCTTGCCGAAAGAAAACAGGTTTGTTCTGAAGAAGGGTTGACTGCTGTGAGCAGCATTCTCGTCCGGGTCCTCATCTTCGCCATCAGCAATGCTAGTCTTGCTTCCCGGACAAACGAGACAAGGGTGAAGTCGCAAATGCCGTACACCAGGCTTAAAACCTGGCTCAGTCGTGACAATCTTGGCAGCAACAGCAGCCTCAACATGCTCCTGAAAATCCTCGGCCGACTTGACCTTCAAACCTGGAACCACAACCGACGAACGCTGAGTGCAGATTATCGAATGACAGAAGTAGTCTGTAGAATAGTTGCGACCCTCTGCCATCTGCTCAAGCAGGAGCGTAGCAAGCGGGGAGAAAACGAGTGGAATGTCGTGTCCATTAAAGATTGTTCGACGCTTGCGAGCATTTGCATCTTTGGAGGGAGATTCAGTCTTCGGCGTACCCTTGAGAGCGCCGAAGTCTAGAAAGCCCTTCTTGACAGCCGACATCTTCTTGTCGACGGATGGGGTGGGGGTGGTGGCAGTATCTGCGATGCATCCAGCACTAACAGTGACTTGACCGGTGTGCAGACTGAGATACTTGGGATGAAGTTCAACGACAAACACCCCTTCGTGGTCGGTTGGAGCAGAGCGTGCTATGCCTGCTTGCTCTGCAGCAGCAATGTATTCTCTCCAGCCCGAGACACCAGCGAGGGTGTACGCGTCAACAACGCCCTGGCGTGCAAGGACAGCGAGTTGCGTGCCTACGAAAGAACAGAGCGGTTTCGGGTTGCCCTGCGATCTCTGCTCTTTGCAGATCTCGATGAGTGGCAAGAATGGCTTGAGTTTGGTGGGGATAGACGAGGATTTGTTGGAGGAAGTGTTGGGGGTCCAGTAAGTTGCCGGTTTCCGTCGGTTTGGAGTACCACTCGAGCCTGACGGGTTGCTAGACATCATGGAAATGGAAGCCGCAGCCCTGGCAGAGTCCTTGAGAGCTACCCATTCGTGACCCGTTGCGCCTGACGAGCCTAGATTAACGATGCCGGCGGCCTCTGCCACAGCAGCATATTCTGCCCATTTGGCAGCACCAGCGCGGACAAAGATGCCTCTGTCCAGCTGTACCAGTCGGGCGGCAACCATGGACCGCAAAGGCTTAGAATTACCCTCTTTCTTGATTTGTTCGAGCAGCTTGATGAGAGGATCAAAGAGCTGCAGTGTGCGATTCGATGGACGTCGGTCCTGGTGTTTGAGGGCTCCTGGCGGCTTGCCGATCGACGTACCGGCACTCGGCTGGTTTGAAGCGTGCTGGTTGCTGGAAGAACTGTATTGACCATTCTTTGATGGAGTGTTAGGACCTGTCTTCGAGTAGCTGCTGTAAGGTTTACCATCCTTGTTCGTCTGGACGCCAAGTACATCTTGGCGCCATGACATGACGACATTGGCTGAAGCTTCCAAGATCGGAACGGCGCCGATCGGCGGAGTAACTAGAACGACACTGTATCCTCGATTCCTAAGAATGCCGAGCGGATATGCAAAGTCGCGATCGCCCGAGATCAGAACGACCGTGGCAGGGGCAGGCTGATCAATCGCATAAGCAAGGAGATCGGTGATCATCATCTTGTCGGCGACATCTTTCCTGCCACTCTTGGGCGTGTCGATGAGACTGACACCACAACCTTGCAGCTCGCTTCTGAGCTGTACTTGCACAGCGTTGGGAGCCTGCATTTCGGAAGAGAGCTCCAGATAGGCTTTGAAACTGACGATGGGACCCTGCTCTAAGTTCTGGATTGCAGCACGGACAGCAAGCGCGACTGAACGACCGGACGAGCCTGTGGGTGGAGCGCAGTTTTCTGCATCCCAGAAGATGGCAACCGGCTCGACGTCCTCTTTGAAGCGATCGCGTTTCGCCTTGCCACTGGATGTTGTCGATGGCGAAAATTCGCGCCCTCTGCCATCATCATCTCGTCGTGATGACTTCTTTGAGACTTTCGGTGGGGGCTGTGATAGGAACCGAGTGGCGATCAGAACAGAGCCTGTACCGAGACCAGCGAGGGCGAGCCACCGAACGCCTGGTTGTTGGAAGTAGTGAACGAGACTGTTCACAGAGGCCGAAGCAGCTGTATCTTGACGATTGGCGGCCATCGAGCGATCTCAAAGCTGCGACGGCTGTAAAGGATGCGGCGAAGCCTAACGAAGTGGCTGTTTGTCGGCAACTGGCTGTCTCCGAAAGTGTCGCAGGGAAGATGAAGCCGAAAGACTGATATCGAAACGAAGGGAGGAGACGAAAAGAGCGTGTGAGTAGACGTTGCTCGTCGAACCGGCCTGGGGTTGGAGGAGTTGAGGATGCAGAGGGCGTCTGTGTGTGAGTTGGAAGATTTGGTGTCACGCCTGGGTACTCTCTCGTGCGAATACTAGCCGCACGAGAGATATCATCGTGCAAATCTTTGCTTGTACGGAAGCTAGTACTTAAACTAGCTTCTCCTTAGATCTCCTCCTTCCTTGCTGCAATCCATCTAGTTACACCATTACACTGCGCATACAGCTTGCGCACGTAATAACGTAACACTTGGTGTTGGTCTGAGCTCAGTTTCTTGACACACGCCACGCACAACTGACCTGAACTTACAACTGCGTTTGCAGAGCTGTTTCTTGGCTGTGCAGCACACAAAAAGGCAATTTTTTCGGAAAGCACACCACCACTTCAAGAAGGAACGAGCTGAAGCGACTTGCTCTCATTCCCGGCTGAAAGCAATTGTCCTAAAGCATGCTTCATGAGCCTCCTCCAATGCTGCTCTGACCTGTGTGTGATATATAGTACGGAGCGCTGTGAATAGAGCTGAACGAATCAGTCTCTGTGCCAGATTTGAGCGTCTGAAGATCTGTTTTCTCAAGGTCGACGTTGCCTATCGGCACACGTTCCAGACGTTTGATGATTCAGGGCCCAGAAGAAGGTCGGAGACACATAACGTTTCGATATCGACACTTTGCAGTCTGCCTTCCTTCTCCGGACATCATTGAACAGCACTCTTTGGCACCATCCAATATGCCGCAACAGTACCACTACCCACAGGCAAACGAGGAGCTGATTCGACACTACAAACTGGAACCTCATCCAGAAGGCGGCTACTATGCGGTCACCTTTGTGATGGAGAAGAAGATGAAGTCTCCTTTCGCTTCCGATGACGAGGAGCGCAACATTGCTACCTGCATCTACTATCTACTATGTCACAAGTCCCCTGGATGCCCCGACAGGCCTTCCCACACCGACGACTCGGATGAGCCTGATCCGTTCAAGATCTGGTCAAGCGACATCGGCGTCTTGCACCTCAACAAGTCGTCCACAATGCACGTTCACCACGCAGGTAGGTCCAAGTACACTCTCATATCTGCCAAAGCACCGCTCGGCAAAGGTCTCGTGGACAAAACCGGTGATCCACTCACGAAGATGATAGTGATGGGTGATGACATTGCGAAGGGCGAGGTGCGACAACTGCTAGTAGAGGGGGGTTGGTGGAAGGTCAGCGAGGTTCCTGAGGAAGATCGCGAGGCAGCTGAAAACGGAAGTGCAGACGGATCAAGGGTGGGCGCCCTGATCTCTGAAGTCGTCACGCCGGGCTTCCACTGGAACGACCACACATATCTGAACCAAGCCAAGCTCCGCGAGCTCTTTGCCGGCTGTCCGCGCGCCGAAGAGTTGTACGAAAAGTACAAGAAGTACGTCAAAGAGCAATGATCCGCATTCTCCTCTTCTTCAATACAATGAGCAACGATCACAGCATCGAAGTCCGTACAAAGGCAGTACGTTAGAAAGCGGTATTGCTGAGCGTTTGCTGTGATAAATTACATATGATAGATGACAAGAGAGGTGCTGCGCTGAGAATCCGATCTGATCCGGAAGCGGACACTTTACTGTGACTTTGAGCCGTAGGTCCTGACTGGGAACAGATTGTCAAAGTTCTTGCGGTCCAAGAACCAAGGATTTTTGGGATGCAACTGACTCTTTGCTGTCCTCTCGGCTGGCGTCAGTTCGTGCTCGCCCGCAACCCTAGACCAGTCCGTCTCGCCACGGAGACTGAGTTTGAATCGCGACCAGTACTGGGTGTACAGATTCTTCGCGTTCGTCTCGAAAAGCGGTGTGGGCGCGGCCTCGAGCTGGTAGCCAAATGTGACGTCCTCTCCCAGCAAGAGGGATGATGGTACCTTCTGTCGCTTGCTCGAACTTGCTGATGCTACACGCCTGCCTTTGCCCTGTGCGAACTTTTCGATCTCGACCGCCGATGTCCTGTCTCGTCGGTAGAGTGCATCCAGTGGATGGAATCGTTCACTCTGATCTTTCGGGTTGAGCGGTGCGCTTCTTCGCGACCGCATGGATGGAGGCAAAAAGGCGCGGAATGGTGGTGCTGCTGTTCGAATGCCAATCTGTGATGTAGCTGGGTATAATGTCACCCGTGTCGCAAGTCGCGACGGGGTCCAGAAGAAGAACATTCCCAATCCAACAGCCGTTACAGCGACGGCAGTTCCTGCTGTGTATCGTAGCATCGGCGGTGCCAACTTGGTTTTCTCTGGATCTCGTGTGAAGATGGGCCAGCTGAGATGTTGTGTAAGGAGGAAGCCCTGATAGCAACCAGCTCCTGTGAAGACGGTCCCAATGAAGTAGTAGATCGCTTTCTTCAAGCCAGGCGGACCCCGGTAGAGCACTCTTGGTGCTGCTGATGCTGCTGCCGCTGATGCACTCATCTTTCTTCCCTTGATATGATGCAGTTGCACGTCGTCTTGCTAATGTGTGACGGGATTTGCGGAGGTTAAAGGAGCCCGTATGCAAGTGAACAGCGCTCCTTCCAAGCTGAGCCAATCTTCCAAATTGACTTTCTTGACCCTGGCTTGGACGAGACTTCCGAAATCCGTGAACGAAACAGTCGTTGACACTATGTTTGGAAAATATATGCTTATATTACCAAGTACCATGTATTGGCCCTATAGCTCAGCGGTAGAGCGTTGGCTTCCAGTTCTAATTGGAAATTTCCAAAGGTCATCCGTTCAAATCGGGTTGGGGTCATGTTCAATTTTTTTCTTCTGCCTGTCCAACCCTATCTTGTCTGGCTGCTAGTGTACAGGTTTGCAGGCAGATTGAACTCTTGGTACCATCTGCTGAGGGAAACGATCCAATATGATGATGCGAGTTGATGTAAGCGGATACGATAAGTAATCGGGCAAAGCCAATCTGGTTGGAGATCAGGTGAAGCCAATACAAGTGATGAATCGGGTACAACTACGTCCCGCTCGTTGTCATACTTGGTCATTAAGGGGAATGCTCCCACCTTTGGTATGTGCCGCATCTTTGTAAATATATCTAGCGGGGAGCTCGAGGCTCCCGCCACATTCTTTTCCCAGTCAATTGAGTATATATGTTTCTGTCTTAAACAGCAGTGACATCGTACTCAGACTCTCCCCGATCGCCAGTTATCGGGACAAAACTTCTTCACTTTGCAACACCATCATGCACAAAGGCTAGCAGCCAAACTGTCGAGCAAACGTGGTTAACCTTTGGCCTAAGTCCATCGTTACGGAACCGTGAGACGATGAGGGTCAAAACGCAGCGTCTAATGCAGGCACCGAGAGTCCAACAAGGCTCGAACTAACAATTTGTGGATGCTGCTTGCATCCGCACCATCCTGACGTGGTGAGACATCATTGTGAGCACAGGTGTGTTGACACATAATGCGCCATCGAAGGTCTCGAGATGAGGTTTGCAGACACAGTCAGGCTGGAAACTTAGTCGGGGTGCAAAGCACAGCCCGGCGGCTTCGCGCTTCCCGAGCACAATCCTATCGATCGCTGGAAGCATCCGTCGCAACGGACCACGCTCAGGACTCCATGTGCACTCGGATACACTGTGTCGGGCACTTTCCTCGCTTGTGTCGGATCTTGCGCCCACAGAGAATCGAGGGCAGTGAGCAAGGTGATATCGAATGCTAGATTTCGTCACCATATTGAGGGAGTACCATACTGAGGGAGTACCAACGGCTGTCCAACGCCATTGTGCAGCTATCAACGCAATCTGAGCGTCACGTTGCTTGTCTCAGAGGGCGCACAGGCCATGGCTGCTGCTGCGACCTTCCCGTGGGCTGTGCGACCGAAGACTGAGCTCAATTATCGAAACTCTGTCCCCTTTCTCACCAGGTTCTTTATTTTTATTTTTATTTTTTGATACGTAACACGAGTCTGTGATACGGAATGTGGAGGTTTGGCTGTGTCAAACTGGGCCTCTAACCCGCGTGTAACATGTTTGTACTTGTCCTGCAACCTCGGCTAGCTTTGCAACGGTGCCACGTGCTTTGGCAAGATGATGGCGTGAATAGGTGTCTGCACCCTCGAGCTATATTGGGCCTCGACATTGCCTCATCGAGACCTTTATTCTTTACCCGTAGAGTCCACACGCAAGGAGTGAGAACAACGTGCGTTGCCGTCCTGAGTCGAGCAACGGGGCTGCCCGAGTAAAGCTGCCTGCGCTGAAGTGCCTGCTAAACTCTTTGAGTCCAAGATGGCCTTGAAGAATATATAAACACTGTCTTCGTCCGGTTCCTTCTCGTCCACCCACACCAAACATCTCTTGCTCACTTCCTTCCCGTAACACCAACACCGACACCAACACCAACCCAAGTTTTCGAAATGTCCGCCCCTGGTCAAAACACTGGTGCTCCTCAGCAGGACACTCTCGACAAGGCTGTTGCGTTCGGCTCCAAGAAGGCTGGCCACGAGCAGAACGCCGGAACCGTTGAGAAGGTCTCGGACGGCATCCGATCCGGCTTGTAAGTGCATCTTCATCAACGTTCACACAGCCTTTTGGGTGGACCTTAACTGATTACATTGATTTACTTTTTTCAACAATCGGTTGCATGCAACAGTAAGAAGCTCACTGGCAAGGATGCCCCCATCAAGGACAAGCAATAGTTGACAACGCTCGCGCTATTCAGTCCTCCTACCATATCCCAAACGATTGATTCTCGATACCAGCCAGCTAAGGCGTTTCACCCTATCCCTGGAGGTCGGCCACTATCCTGGTCTGCTGAACGAAATGTAAACACCATCATGGTTTGCCTCCCAAACATGCCCTTGTGTGCGTGTGTGTGTGAACGTGCTAGGCATTGAGCCGAGCCGCTAGCTCCAGAATTCGTCTGCTCGACGCTTCGTGTGAGGGTTCGACACGCTTCTTGGGTGAGATCAGCCGGATCGTGTCCTCAGACTCTTCGGGGTCTCTGACATCGTTGTCAGGATATGCAACCGCCTCCGCCTCAGGCCCTAGCTTTGCAGGCGTGGCCTCGCCGATAAAGCGTTGGTTCGACTGCACAATGACTGGAGTGGACAGACGTTGGCTGCGTAGCGTATTCAAGACCTTAGTGAGTGCATCTTCGTCCCCCTTTATCTCGGCAATTCTCTCATTGCTCGCACACGACTGAGTCGGGACGTAGGCTCGAGAGACGTCTGTGCGAATGCATGAGACCTCGTGCGATACGCCATCGATAACGTGTGCGCTCTCACTTGTAGATCGCTTGTCCGCGTTACGCGATGCCGTCGCACAGTGAGCTTGATACTCCGGGTAAGGACCTAAGCCTTCGGATGGGTCAATCGACGTCACGACTTCCTCGGGCGATGCAGACCTATGCTGCTCAAGGCGGAGTTCCCGTTTCGTCATCTTCGTCTTTCGTGGAGTCGGCGTGTATGAGGTTGCAGTGGAATTGTTCGATGCTTTAGCTCGTTTGGACGGATGAAGGAGGCCACATAGCTCAGCTTTCTTCGTGGAATTGAAAAAGTCTGACAACGAGCTGTATCCGGCTGCGTCAAGATGAGCTTGGGTGCTGTACAGGCCTCCTTCAAAAGTGCTGCAATGATCAGCCAAAAGTCGGGTGGTGAGAGGGAGGGGAGATCCGTAGAGAGTAGTACTTTCTGCGAGATCAGTCTGCGTCGTGTCCTTGCCAACATTTTGAAGCCAGTAGAGCACTGCAACCCGTTGGTTTCTAGCCATGTTAGTCGGGCGATGGAGACTTCGTTGTCCAGATGGCGATGCCCGTAAGAAAAAAGAACATATAGACTTGCTGGCTTGACAGGAGCTTGAGCTCACGCTCGCATCGACGTGCGAGAAGCCTCCATTTGATTGTCTCGGCGGAGAGCCCTGCTCTGTGTGCTTGGATCCAAAGGTGGTCAATTGATATGCGAGTTCCATCATAGCCGTGTGTCGTAATGACATCGCATGCCTGATCGAGTCTCAAGCGTTCACGAGAATAGACAGACCGATCGGGTGCCCCAGGTGCTTCGAGATGGAAGTTGCTGATTCCAAAAAGGGCCTCGGGATCCCCCCGGTCTTCGTGGCTGTGTTGGGCTATGTTGAGTAGTAGAAGCAGGATTAGGATGCAAAATCCGAGCAAGACAACCTGGTTGCAAAGCCACCAGAGTTGCATGCCGAGGCAGCAGCCTAAGACGAAGAGTAGATGCTCTGAATGCAGCCAGAACATCGCAAGCTTGCTACCCTTCCTGAATCGAGGGTCGAAGGGGAGTGGTGAATGGGTTACCCCGGAAAACTTGCAACATCGCGGCAAACTGTCCTATCTTGGGTATATAAGCTTTTATCATAAGTTTGACCGTCCACAAGGCTCGCTTTCGTCGAATGGAGAGACTTCATTTGGGCAGATTTAGCCACCCGGGATAGAAAGCTCTTCAACATTGCCTTACCGATGGCATTACCACGGAGCAAGGGAAGCTGCAAGAGCGACAAGCTCGCTGCACAGACTTGAGATTAGGATTTGAAGATTCTGTACGCCAGACTCCTGCGCCATGCACGAGCACAGCTGTAGCGGTGGGTCGTAGAAGGATGGAGCGCGGCGTTCTTTGACGTCGACATGTTAACGCTTTGTTCTCGCTGCGAGGTGAGGTTTGTTAGACCTTCAAATCTTTCGCGGCAGCCCAAATTTTTATTCAGACCAACACCTCCACGCGCTCAACACCAACGGAAAGCGCAATCGAGGAGTCCATCTAGCGCTCTCACTCAGCACACTCCAACACATACTTCTTTGACCAGCATCACTATCACTATCACCACCAATACGACCAAGCCTCTTCTCGCTCGTCAGCAACTCTCTTGTGATCCTCCGCAGCAAGACAGTATTCAAGTGATCTTCACCAGCAGCCATGGCAGCGCAACCTCCGCCGGCCGGCAGTGCCCAGCAGGCGCACCCGCTTCGGCCTTATTATCAGCCACCTGAGGACTCTGTCTTCATCGCTACTGCTCCCCGTTTCAGCACCACTGGCATCCCGGGTGCTGCCTCTCGGTCTTCTGGAGACGCCTCTGCCGGCTCATCATCCAAAGCCTTCGGGGCCGCTACTGCTCCCATGAAACCAGACTCGAACCGATACATCTCATCGAACGATGCAAAGCCCTACGTTGCAACCACATCAACCGGCGGCTTTGGCGAGGCAGACATCAGCATTTCAGACATCTTCCGCGCCCTTCTCATCAGCGGAGCACTCCAGTGCACTAGCACTTGCCTTGCCATGCCTTTCGAGGTCGGTAAGCTTCTGCTGCAAGTGCAGTGGGTGCCCAGGGACGATGTTTGGCTGCAGCTCACGCAACAAGCAGCGCTTGCACAACGACGCACAATCACAAAGCCACAGCAGACAAGACCGCCACGTGAGATCCAGGACAGCGAAGAGCCTGAAGCTTGGGAGCAGGAAGTTGCACCCGAGGCTAATGAGTGGGACGACGAGGCCACCGCTCAGGATGCTGAAGCGGAGGAGGAGATGATTGATGCTGAAATATCAGATGAGGAGGACGTCGATGCCTACTTCCGTGATGTAACCTCGAGGCCGACTCGTCCGGATACTTCGCTCTACTCCGGTCGCAAGAAGAGACGCATGGTGGATGCTTCCGGCTATGTGATGCGCAAGAGCGTGTACGACCAAGGCGCGCGTCCTGAGTTTGTAATGCCAGTCATAGTTAGAGGAGGCGTGTGGGAGATGATGAAAGCTGTGGGCCGTGGAAAGGAAGGTTGGCTCGGTCTCTGG